GTTCATTAAAGATAGAGCTTACGTGTGACTCCAACTCCAAAGGATTAATAAGTAAGAATTCAAAACGCAAAAAAAGTGAAAATCACTGGCAAAGTTGAAGTTCAAGTGCCAAAAGTTTCAAGCTTGTGTGGCTTTCCATTGTCATCTTAAAAGATGAATTTCTATTATAAGCAAATTTCAAGCAACTGACAAGATTTTCGTTACAAAAAATTGCCTAGACTAGTAAATTGGGGCTTCAAAATCATCTCATTTGATGTCTTCATAATACTTCAATCCTTGTCTTAAGTTCGACATGTCTATGACCGGCAAGTCTTGAAGTAAGGGGCATTTGTAGGCATTTAAAATTTATCGGAATTAAGTGCGTGAAATAATTTGGACTATATTTTAAATTCAAGATATATTAGTCCAAACAAATATTATGGGCTAATATAATTGGATTAATTATATAAGTCCAATATTATTGGGCTAGCCCATTTAATTGGACTAAAATGATGAGCCTACCTCATTAAGCCCAAGATGTCATCCTCCTAAAGGCCCAGTTTGGTGCCACATGTCAAATGACGTGGCGCGCCAAGTCAAACGGAAGAGCCAATAGGATCATGCCACGTGTCAAAATGACAAGGCATGCCAAGTCACACCAAAAGGCCAATGAAATCGCGCCACGTGTGCAAGTGACATATTCTGGCCAGTCAAATGTGGCCATGTCACACTTCAATTTGATTGATCGGAAACAGTTTGTTCTTATCACAACTCCTCCCTTCCACAACTATAAATAGGGGTCTTCATAACCCAGAAAAGACACCAGAAGTTATAACAAGAAGCGGGTAAGAGCTCGTGGATCAAACACTGCAAATTTCTCCACAAGTTTCAAGCTTCAAGCAATCAAGTTTCAATCTTCAAGCAATCAAGTTCAAGCTCAAGAACGAAGAACAAATCAAGTTCAAGCTCAAGAACGAAGAACGAATCAAGGTCAAGTTCAAGTAATCAAGCTAAAGCTCAAGAACAAGATCATCGTTCGTGGCGACAACTACATATTCAAGATCAAGCTCAAAGGCCCTTGAATTTAATTACTATTGAAAAGACGAATCAGAGGATTCATAGAGATTGTAACACTCAAATATTCGAAATAAAATACTACGATTGTTGCAATATTTTCTGTCTTAATTTTGTTTTCTCGACGCAAATTTATTGTCTACAGTTTCATTAGACTAATTTTCTTTAGGATTTACGAAATTATATTTATGTCTAATTTGTAATAATACTTAGGAAAAAAATTGATTATTTGTCGAGGGATGTGCACTGATAGCCAATTTTATAACCCTATTTAAGCCATAACCTAAGTACATAAATTTTTGTAAGTCCAGCCGTTTCAGCCACTACTTCAAGCATACACAACTGAAGGAAGTTACAAATTTTGCTTGAAGTTTGACATATTGCTGGTGCAGGCAAACAGATATTTTTAGGGGTTTTGGCATGGTATAGCAATATATTCATATAATTGACAGAAAACAGGAGGGAAGTCAAAATAAGCGTGTAGTTTTTTTCGAGAGAGAATATAAAAGAGAGTAGTTTTTTTTTTAGAGGGAATATAAAAGAGAGTAGTTTTTTTTAGGACTTGGCTATATAATGCCAATTGTTTGGGGCTATCTTTGCCAAACCTAATATAAGTTTAAAAATTGCCAATTCCTATTATGGGTTGTTATAGGATGCCAATTTTTCATCTCTATGTACATCAGTGATATCTCATGTATAGTATGTGTATCTGTGTATATCCATGAAAATTTGTGTTATATATACGATATACAATGTCATATACACGGGCGTCCATACAAAATTGTGTTGTATACCGATATACAAAGTGATATACACAGTCACAGGCGTCCTTAAAAACTTGTGTGTGATATACACTGATGTACACGATATACAACGTGATATACACATGTTGCAGTTGGAATTTTAGGTCTGATTTTTTGCCTGAAACCATTCTAAATCACTTGTATTCTTTGCTCAAATTTTGTATATAGCCTTGTTTAGGTATTTTCAACCAATTTCAATCACACTCACTCATTCAATCCAACCAAAAAAAGGAAAGGAAAAGAAAAACAAAAGTGAAATATATTTTTTTGCTAATCTTGCTCAAATTTTGTATATAGCCTCGTTTAGGTATTTTCAACCAATTTCAATCACACCCACTCATTCAATCCAACCAAAAAAAAAAAAGAAGAGAGAAAAAAAACAAAGTTGAAATATATTTTTTCTCTCTTAGTTTTTGCTTCCGATTTTCTCTGATGTGAGATCAACCTTACCTTTTCATCCCACTAATTTTTTTTGCATAATTTGCAAGAATTTTTGCTAAACTATGAGAGCAAAAGAAAAGAGATAGAAGAAGAAATACAAGGAGAGAAAGGGGGAGGGGCCAAAATAAACGTGTAGTTTTTTTTTGAGAGAGAATATAAAAGAGAGTAATTTTTTTAGGATTTGGCTATATAATGCCAAGTGTTTGGGGCTATCTTTGCCAAACCTAATATAAGGTTAAAAAATTACCAATTCCTATTATGGGTTGTTATAGGATGCCAATTTTTCATATTTTTATCTAAACTACAGATTTGAGACTAAAGTTTGGCTTGCCATAGCCAAATTTCATACATATGCGACTAAACTTCAGACATATACGAAGCCAAAGTTCAAGCATTTGTTGGGTCAGTGGTTCGCCATTTTGAATCTAAAAATTTTGAAAATCTATTGGTCTCATTGTTTGAGCTTCGTCCAATTTGGTGTTTATCCGAGTGAAATTGAACGAGGTAAGGGTTGAAGAGTTTGGGTAATTAAAATTTTGGTTTCCAACTGCATATTGTTTACGACTCAGTGATTGGAATTTAAATTGCGGAGTTGTTGATTACTGAAATCTGATTGTGAGCTTTTTGTTTGAGTTGGAGGCTGACTTGGAAGAAACTTTGAAGCGTCTGTTCTTGGACCTTCGACTTGAAACCTGAGATATATATAAAAACAGAATAAACTGAAATTGGAAGAGCCAACTCACTGTATTAGTTTCTTTTTTTTTCTTTTCAAATTACATTCTACAAGGATATATAGACTTGAAGTTACTACACAAGATAAGAACTGAAGAGGTAAACTAGTATAGATGTTATCTGCTGGACTTTGGAGACATCTCAAACTCAAACTTATCTGAAAGAGTCCATCCAATACGAAGAACTGAGTTGCGTTTTGTATTGTTGAAGATTGTGGTTGTCCATTGATTAGCAACAAATGGGTTTAGCGAGCAACAGAAGAAGAAGAAGAAGCAGCGCAATGGAGGAAGCTTTTGTCTGAAGTTTCCTAATAATTTGCTACAAATGGAAGTTTGCTAATATAGCTTTAAATAACAGGGTAAAAGCTTAAATTTTTACTTATTTAACCCAAATGTCCCATAAAACTTCACTTGCAGGCTTCCCTTCCTTTCTCCAAAATCTATCAGCGTAAAACTAAATTCCAAGTTTTTACTGAATAGTGCTGCTATTTTTCCTTTCTCTTAAAATGTGATGGTAAAAACTAGGGCTGTTCACGGCTTGACAGAAAATCGATCCAAACCGAAAACCGAACCAAACCGATTAAGTAAACCGATATTTTTCTTAATTTGGATTGGTTTTGATTTTAAATTTTAAAAACCGATAATATTTGGTTTGGTTTTGGTTCTATTATAAAAAACCAAAAAAACCGAACCGAACCGATTAATTATATAAAAATATGAATAATTATTAATATCTTTTCGTAAATAATTTTAAATACTTTATGTATTTTAATTATTATTTTGAATTTTGATTTATCCTACTTATATCTTAAAAGATTGCCTAAGCCCAAAAGAATAGGAATCGACCAATTTTCTTTTCCTTAAGAGAATCTAATTCTCTAACCTACACACATACTTTTTCCTAATAAAAGAGTTAGAAAAAAAACATCTACGACATGAGTAAAGAAAGCAAGCTCAAATTGCAAGACTATAGTAGCTAAAGCTTGAGAAAGTAAACTTTTAGTTTTTTTTTTGTTCATTTTTTTCGTATAAACAGGTAAATAAACTTTCAGTACCGAAATAAATATATAATAAAGCATAAATTTAGCAAATTATTTTCAGATTGTTGTCTAGTGTCGTTTTACTATAATCGACTTATCATTAGCTTACTAGGAACCGAAAAACCCAACCAAACCGAACCAAACCAACGACAACCAAACCGATGGTTTGTATGTAATTTGGTTTGGTTTTGGTTTTAAAATTTTAAAAACCGATTAAATTGGTTTGGTTTTGGTTTTAATCAAAAACCGGCCAAACCGAACCGTGAACACCCCTAGTAAAAACCGTTATCTCCTCTTTTGCTTTAGATATTTACAGGTTATCTCCCTGTAACAACTAATCTTTTCCCTAATTCAACTTCCTGAATGATTTTCCCCTTAATTACTCCAATTGCCAGAGAACCCAACAGTATTTTCTCATATGGGTTTATCAATCAACAATATTTACACAAGATATATTACAAGTATACAACTGTTCAATTCCAGTCAGAAAAAGTTTTCGAGGCAAAAAGAAACACCAAAGGGAAGTTAAGTATATACAATTATATTTGGGTTTTTAATAAAGTGCAGAGTGCTCATAATAGACCAGATGATTGATAGTATAAAATTTCTGGGACTCGAAAACTATAATGTGGTAATAATACAACTTTCTTCTTTCAGAAATGACCAACGGTGTTAAGCTTAAAATTGTTGAAGACATAATTTGGTAACTCTCAAGATACACTAGTTATGAACTCATATGAGCGCCACAAAGGAAAAAGCAAGAACCTATAAAAGTTCACAAAGATGTAAATAGAACTGTGCAATCAAAGAACTAAAGGCCTTGTTACAATTAAAACGACAAAAGAGCTTCCCTCAGAAAATATTCCCTTTGTTAAGTTAAAAATAAAAAACTGCAATACGTGCAACCACTACCAAGACATTGCACATGGAGATCAATCGAAGTCATTATCATGACGTCAAGGAAGGCTATCTTAGAAATAGTTTAGGCCGACAAACCTACTTCAAATTGACTTGCCTCTTACTCATGTCATAAGTCACAGAGAGATGTGAATGGTATGTTTCAGACAGTTTAAGGAAGAAAGAAAATGGAAAAGATATTGGAATCCTGAACTAAATATACAATCACCCACATTCTTCTATGCCAACCATGACTGGCCAAAAAACTAATACTCGGCGGTTGAGTGCAAATAAGATAGCTATACTTGCTAAAATGTTGCAGTATCATTAACATAATACCTAAACAGAAGAGAAGAAACCTGGAATTCTTCTCGTTTTTTAAAGAGAAATTGTGGTGAGGAGCTGGGGACATGATAGAAAGAAACCGCCAAAGAGGTGCAAACAATTTTGAGCTCATTCTTTAAACTGCCACTCTCGACGACACATGGGGCAATGAGCCTGGGAAGTTTGTGAGTTTACCCACTTTAGAATGCAATGAAGATGAAATGCATGGTTGCAAGCACCCCAGACTGCAAAACAAGCAAATAATTGAAGTTGTAGTAGTAAGTCAATGCACCAAAGGTGGTACTTTAGAACTAAACAAGCAGAGAATTGTGAACAACCCCTGGGCATGCACGAAACTAAAATGTTGCCATGATATAAGTTTTTCAGCTCTGATGATTAATGGGGGATGGTGGTTAAGCAAGTATGATTAAGATCCTCCCCAGTCAGAGAGAGAGAGAGAGAAAACGAGAAAAAAGGTTGCAGGGCTCCAGCTAATACCTTTTTTGACCCTGAACTCTATAAGCTTGAATCGAAAACCAAATACTGCCGTGATGGAAGGAGTGTGGTGTCATGCATTTGGGGGGATGGAGAGAGAACACTAGTGGGCTGGGAAGGCAAGGGAGGAAGCAGAGTGGTGCAGAAAGGAAAGAAGACCTGCAGGCGAGGGGGGTAGGCTTTCTAGGAGGCAAGAAAGATGACGGGCAAGATTAGGGAGAGGAGATTGTGGGCTGGGGTAGCAGTAGGGATTTATACTTTTTACAAATCCTTGCATTTGCGTTTTTGTTTTGCTTTTACATTTATTCCCTTTGTGATCCTTGCATTTGTGTTTTTGTTTTGTGTTTACATTTATTCCTTTTCTGATCTTATATTCTATTTAATTTCAATTTCACCCTTTTACTGTGTGACATTCACAAGTATCCCTTAATTTAATTTGTTAGAAATAGAGAGCTGAAAGATTTACTTGGATAATGACTACAAATATATTATTTGTTCTCATAGTAGGATGGGAGACTCAATCCAGATAATTCAGAAAAAGAAAAGGATATCTAAATGTTACTTGGTAATCTATGCTTTTGGCTAGGGAGGATCATAAAAAGGTCTCAAATTTCTTGGTCATCTATGCTTTGGCTTCCACTATAAGGCAAATGTCTGCAGGCAAGACTTGAGCTTGGATCCAAAGTGATTTTTAGCCAACTGTAGTTGGTATAAACAGTCAAATCATAACTGGCGGTTAGCCATTACAAGCCAAAATACACATGTAATAAAATGCAACATCACCCTAAAAGTCACACTTGAGTGGAAGGGATATTGTAACTATTCAAGTTCTAGTTGTCAGGACTCAAGACAAGGTACCAACAGAACTCCACTGCTGGAAGCATAATGCAAGTATAGATCATAATATTTAAATCGGATGAAAAAAATCAAAAATTCCTTAGACATAAATAAACAAATAAATATATAATAGGAAATAAAACTAAAATGCTGTTTCAATCTTTTTTTCTAGCAGGCATTTGTTTCTGCAAAATACCAAAGAATTGGGATAGGTACCTGGCCTTGTTCCTATATAGGAAATAGAGCAATAACTGATATGTATCTTACTCTAAAGAACTTCTTTTCATGAAGTATCTTATTCTAAGTCTTTAAGGAAAGCAAAGCAAAGAAAAAACTTAAACTAGGAAGAAATGCCTCACAAAAGAACAATTAAGTGGACGAATGAAAAGATGGCAACTCTTAACCACATCTGTAAATTATGAGTCAGCAGAGAAGGCATTACACAAGGCAAAACAGTCAACAGCTGAAAAGCTTACATTATGTAGCACCGAAACACATCAATAGGTCACTGACATAATATGGCAATTAAATTATCCGTCCCTGATTGCTTAGTTTCGTAGCCAATTAATAAATTCGACCAATAGTCCAACACTTTTTTCAAAACATGTTACAGCACATTTACATTAATTAACTTTTTATGGTATGGTAAAATCTCATGCTCAATCCCTTATACCCTGGAATCCAACAATGGTCTCTTTCACCCTTGCTCACTTTGTGAGTCGATCCAACTTTATGGTTGGAGGTGGAAGATTCCCACCATTAAGCTATTCCTCCGTTATCATGTCTATTTTGATATCTTATCTTATATAGCCTCTTCTTTCTCAATTTAGACCCATCATTCGAAAAGTTTTAAAGATTCTGATGTGTACGTATATCATGCATTCTAAAGGGGAAGAGCACTGTCTAGAAAGGATTCGATCTTTTTGCACATATAAGACATGCCAAAAACATACTCCCTCCATCTCAAATTATCTGTCGTGGTTTCTAAAAATAGTTGTCTCAAATTATTTGTCATTTTAGAAGTTCAAGACAAATTTAATTATTTTTCCCTATTTTAGCCTCAGTAGTAATTGTTCTTGAAAACTACAAATACCTCAATTTTGGGTTAATACTATGATTGTTCAAATACCAATAAGATACAAATAAGGGTAAAATATTCAAAATACCTCTTAATTATTATTTTCTTAAGGGGTGCGTAAAACACAAATAAGACAGTTAATTTGAGACGGAGGGAGTAGCTATTGCAAGTGGAGGAAATTCTAGACAAGTAAAATCATCTTAGATGCGTCTCTCACGAGTTGACTATCCAAGACAGCATCTGTGCTGGAAGCAAAAAGCTCTTAGAAATAATTTTGATTCACACTAACTATTCTCACTTCATGAAATTATCTTATTCGATTAATCATTGTTTTGCTCCTCAGGGGAGACGTCTTTAATTGGAAATCCAATCTTTTGACTGCAAATTATTACGCTTTTCAGGAAAAATTTACTAACCATTTGTTAGCTAGAAGGTCGAAAATGCAAAACAGATAATCAATTGTCTAAGTTAACATAACCAAACATTTTAAGGTTTTAAAAAGATAAAAGTCCATGTTTGATGCCTAAAGCCCACTATGGTCATATATACGGCTTCAAGGCCACATGAAGCACAACATATTGGTTCTTCTGAACTTTCAAGGCTGACCAAGGAGCTTAACAAATACGGCGGTTCACCAATCCAGAATGGGGTTAGCAATGGAGTGACTTACTTTTAAGAAAGCTAGTAACTACAGTGAGTAACTTAATAATAGTTGTTTCCTCAGTTTAGTTCTTTACCCAATTTATTGGTTGATTAAAAGGACTCTATATAGATAGCAATAAAAATTTAGGGAATATCACTACTAAGCAGTGGAAGCATTTCGAAATGTTAATGTATAATAGCATTTTCAAACAAGTAGACTCTCATTACACCAAATAACATTGATTAACTAAATGCTAGCTTCCTGTTCTGCAAGGCAGTGACAGGAAAAACTTTGTTGGTGTAGTGAGCCTGAATGAAGTGTTACCATAAATCTTATTGGATATTCTCAAGGAAAACTTGATAGCTGACCTTATCCTTATGATTATACTGACCTAAGAATATCTAAACCTCAGGGACTAACTATCCTAAAGGAAAAAAAGGGATATGCCTTGAATTATCTACACCTAAGAGAGTAACAATCAAAAAAGAAAAATTAAAAATCTAAACCTCTGAGACTAAATTAGAGACGGTGTTCGCCTTAACTCAACACGTCGTGAATTTACAAGAAGTCATTCTCGCGAAAACAGTCTAGCATACTTGTAGCCACACTTAATTATAAGGTTCAAATACAACGTTTACTAACCAATGTGGCCTGAACTATACCTGATGACTAATTTATCTTATGAAATTATTTCAGCATTATATTTCAAATATGAGAGTACACATTAGCATACAAACAAAAACTGATACATAGAACGCACAACAAATTAAGCCCCATACAGAATCTATAGTTTTCATCCCAAAGTTTAGCTATAATATAGAGATAGATCAGCTTACTTAGCGGGCAATCATCCCCAGGGAGTTTACAATCAGGACAGCAACCATCAAAAGCCATCCTACATATCCCGCAAGTTTCATCCTGAGCATCCCATGTCCATGAAGCAACAGCGTGCCATCTGCAATACATAAGGAAGTAAAAAGGTGAGATAGAGCAAGCTACACATGTAGCAAGACATTTGAGACTAGTAAAATCAAATGCCATGAAGAGGACATACTCTATTCATGATTCCAGCGAAGCGCCCCGAAATAATAGGTCAAGGGAATCTTGTGATGAAGTAAAAAGCAAAGAAACAATACAAGAAAAGTCCTTCCATCAAAGCATGTAATCAACTTGCAGTATAAAGCTACTCTAACGATTGGGTTAGCACAATAAGAAGTAGAGTTTCCAACGCATACAAACAAGAAATGTGAAAATTCCCATGTCATATAAAATGTCACGAAAATAAAGACTTTAGCCCATTTCAAACTTAAGCATTTATGTGCACATTTTCTCTTAGAAATTAAACTTGTGAAGTGGTCATGAAAACCATTACATGGAAATGGTTCCTGAAGTTAAATCAATTTGGCAATACAATGAAGGTTCATTGTCAATGCTTATTTTTCAATCACAAAGTAATTTCGTAGTCTGCTTAAACAAGTTAGAATCTACAATTTCCCAAGATTACTGAGGACTTGACTGAATATGTGCTTAAATGCCAGTATGATCTGCTAATAGTTGGGATTATAAAATGCACTTGTTATATAATCCTAACTAATGAAAAAAATTACTGACAGGCCATAATTGAAGCAGTTGGCTAAATATTAACCCAGCTAATTCTAGTAATTGGCAACAAACATGAAGCACCTACTGGTGTGATAGATCAGATTCAAGCCACCATGTGATTATTGGACACGCGTCACGGTATATAAGAAAAACAATCAAAAGGATACGCAGTATTTTCACTTTCATTGCCCCGTCCCTGCAACATAAATATCATATAACAATTGTAAGTGCTATTTAAATTCAGTTCCCTCTTCGACAATCTGGTATTTATGTAGACAAAAACAAAAACTCCCCTAACTCCAGCAATAAGAATGAATATTCTTGAAAAGAATCACTAAGAACTGTAGTAATTGGAGTTGAGATTTTCTATATTAAAAGACGAAGAGGGCACATACCCTCGATTTCGCAAGCTCAGCTGGCGCAATTTTTAAAGTTACAAATTTGTGTTTTTGCATTTGTTCTCCATCCGACCCGCCAGAAGGAATTTGGGCTCTTCAGTTTGAAATACACGGGCCTAATATAACTTGGAGGAATGACACTATTTATCCTTACCTATCCATTTGTTTTTTTACCCATCAAACTAATTACAATTCCTACCCATAATAGTTTTTATGGGGAGTTTTCTCTTTTTTTTCAAATTCTTTTTTATTTCTATGCTTCTTTTTTTTTTCCCTTTTTTTCTCCTTTTTTTTTCTCGTTTTCTTCTTCTTTTTTTCGTTTTTTCTTTTTTCCTATTCATTTATTTTTGTCCAAATCGTATTATTGTTATTTTTACCATAACTTATTTCACACTCAATTTTGACTCCTTTATTTTTTATTTTCTTTATTTCTTGTTACTTTTCTAATTCTATTTAACTCCTTTTTTCTTTTATTTTCTTTATTTCTTGTTTCTTTTCTAATTTCATTTAACTTCTTTTTTAATATTCTTTTTTTTCTCTTCATAATCTAATTTTATTTTCTGTTTTCACTATTTTTTATTATTCTTTTTTTTATACAATAAGAAAAATAACTGATATAGTAAATATTTGTTCACCTTTTTTAAATATAACTAGTATAATACACCTTTTGTCTTTTTTCTCATTTTTTAATTCAATTATTAAACTGAAATAATATCAGTTGTCACTTGATCTAATTCACTGAATATCACACCGACTACTGCTAAGCACCATAAATTACATAATCAGCTTCTAAGAATCAATATGTGATTGCCATGCAAACCTTGATCTCCTTCCCAAAAAATATGAGTACACACTCTACCATTAGCAGTAATACAACTAGTTATGGAACAAGAAAATACAATCTACAACCACCAAATCTCCATATATACTAGTTAGAATAGAAATGATAATAAAATACTAAAAATGCAATTAAAGTATAAGTAACAAAAAAGACTTCTAGTACCATATGATACCAATATGGTATACATGTATACCAACAGAGTATATGATTGCTCTAGAATATTGTTACAACAATCTGCGACTATATTAATGTACCAAAATATTAAAGGATGCAATAAAAGTATGAGAAAATTACATGCTCGCATTGCAAGCTAAAATTCGCAAAGCAACTTACTCTATATTAACAGGGTATGTAGTTGTATCGGGTCGCTCCAACAATTGCCTGTAACTATAAAAATTATTACATAATACACATAATCTATATCCATCGGTACAAAAAAATTCCAACACTGCAAATCATGTTCATATAAATAACTCCAGAACAGAATTCACTTAAAAATACAGCTAAAACAACCAAAAAAATGTTTAAACTGCCATATGATACCAATATGGCATATTACTATACCAACATGGTATACAATTTTACTGGTTAATTTTCGGCAACTAATATGATTATACTACTATTACATAACACACATGCATAAAGAGAAAAATAACAATATAGTGTACCACATATTAATATAATAAAGTATTTCAAGATATTGTACTATATTACCATTATTAAAAGAAAATCAAATAGTGTACCTATTAAATGCAACTAATAAAATCAAAAAAGGATTCAGCTAACATATGATACCAAAATAGTATATAACTATACTAATAGGGTATATATTTGTACGGGGTCGTTCCAATAACTGCATATAACTATAAAAATCATTACATAATACACAAAATCTATGTCCATAGGTACAAGAAAATCCAACACAACAAAATATGATCATATAAATCATTTCAGAATAGTATTCACTTGAAAATGTAGCTAAACAACCAAAAAATATTCCAACTACTATATGATACCAGTATGACATATAATTATACCAATAGGGTATACAGTTCTACTAATTAATTCCACGCAACTATATATGACTATACTACTATTACATAATACACATGCATAAAGAGAAAAATAAAAAAATAGCGTACCACATATTAATATTAATATATTTCAAGATATTGTACTATAATACTATTATATAAAACAAATGCATAAAGAAAAAATCAAAATGACTACATAATACATATGCATAAATTAAAATTAGAAAAATTCAAAATATTGTACTATTCTACTATTATTAAAGAAAAATCAAATAGTGTACCAATTAAATGTAGCTAATACAATCAAAAAAGGTTCCAACTAACATATGATACTAGTATAATATATAAATATACCAACAGGGTATACAATTGTATGCAAAGAATTTAATTTTTTTTAATTCAATTATTAAACTGAAATAATATCAGTTGTCACATAATCTAATTAACTCAATTTTGTACGTCATCGATTATACTAAATTTTAGACATGTTATAATAATATACTATATACCATTTTGAAATGGAGAATAAATTAATAAAAACTATTCAATGGACAAGTACATCCTATTAGGAAATGAGAAAGATAGAAGAAAAACGTTTATTTATATTTGAGAAGACAATAAAAGAGAAATAGGTTGGGGCAATTAATGGGATTTCACGTTATCCGGGATTAGAAAGGAAAGGATTTTGAAAATAGGTAGTTGGGTAAATACTTTAGATTGCATAGGTACATATTGTAAGAGAAATTAGAATGGGTAGTAACGGGTAATTAAAATTGCCTGAGTAGGCATTTAGAGTAGATTTCCCAATTTTTATAGGTAGGTCAAAATTCTAATTTTTTTCTTTATATATAAACAAACAACAAACTTAACTCTCTTTTTTTTCCTTTCATCTAAACAACATAACTCTTGGTTTATTTCATATGTAACAAATTCATTTACCTTTATAAAATTTATAAACTTTCACATGATTTTTAAGACTTTCTATTTAAAAAATGTTTTCTATTTTGCAAATGATGGACTCTTAGTTAAGGGTTGTTTGATATATATTTTTCATGTGAGAAGCCGCTGAAATTGCAAATCACATAGCTGATTTATTCTAAGATTATACATTATTATTAATTATGCATGGTTTTTACTGTATAATTATCATATTTATTTCTAAAATTTGTTACTATACCGTACGTATAATTGGAATATATCACTATTATACTGGAATTATACAATGTATAATAGCTAGTGACAAAATATCATGTATATTATCTACAAATAACTTACATAACAACGTATGCGAAACATCTGATACTATTATTATATTAGTTAATATATAAGACCTCTAAATAATTAAAACAAAAACACGTGAATATCGAGATAACATTATTAAGCAAATATTAAACAAAGTATATTTATTTAATTAATTATCGTACAAATACAAGATGGACGCGTCAACTTATAGTGGATAGTGGTAGCCAATTAGGAATGTAACATTTTGAGCTAAAAACCCGAAAAGGAACCTGTTTGTTAACGTGATTCTCGTCTAGACCCAAGTGGATTCCTTTGATATATTGAAATTTTAATATGGTATGTTAATATTTTAGCTATTGACTGTAAATTAAATAATTCTTCTACCATTTTGTAAAAACATTCCAAATATTGTACAATTTATGTTTTTCCCCATCCCTATCCAACCCTAGTTATTTTTATTTCACCAGAAAATGTTAATACCAAATATATTTATATCGAATAATTTTAATTGCCTTGCATTTTTCATAGAAACACAATATAATAGAATGTATGTGATTGTATGTATTTAATGTTAAGGGATGGTATAGAACTATATTAGTCATTAATTTTTATTTTGGTCGAACGAAAAAATATTATTTAACCAAGTAAAGCATTATACACAGACTAACTCATATTGACCTAGATCTAGAACAAACAAAAATAATATTTAAAAAATGGACATTAATTGTGTGGCCTTTAAAAAAAAAAATCCCTCCCAATTTAGGAGGATCTATAGTGTTCCACACTTCCCCTCCAGCGTGCGTGACTAGAACCCAGGACCTAACGATCGTGGGTGGAGGTGCTTTACCAATGGTCGTGTATGGCCTAAATTTGCTAAACTTTCAACAACTCAAACTTAGCACTTTCTTGGAAAGCCTCTTCATATAGCAGTAAATTTGCCTACTAGCCAGAAAAATAATTTAACTAATCTAATAGTTTTTCCATGTACAATGCGTTTGGCCAATTATGTGTAGCTGCAGAATAATTTATTTAGGCCTATTTGCATTGTCTTTTCTCTTCAATTGGAACATTTAGTTTCTCTTCATCCAAATGTGATAAATAGCAGCTGCAAAGAAAAATTCCAAGATGGTATGTTTGGGCCTTCTATTGTTAACTAGCTTAGAAAGCCCCTGTGCTTCTATTAGAGATTTTGGGTAATCTACCTTGGATAATCATTTGAGGCCTTTAAAGCAATCATCAAATATGGAGATAACAATATGAGAAGATGCGTTGATTTTTTTAGCAATTTTTCCATGTCTACAAAAAAAAGTCTAAAAGAGATTCTTTTAGCTTACCAAATCAACCCTTAATTTAACCAATTAGTTCCTTCCTGCTTCACACTAATTCCACATGTTTAACAAGATTGAAGGTAATAAAAACGGGGACACCCCTGAAATGTAGGAGTGAGGACCATCTCACCGTCTTGCTTAAAATTAACAGCAATAAGAGGTGCTGCTAGTATTAATACTATTTATGGTTATAAAGTACCATAGCATAGGTACTCACTATTCCTCCTACTACTGAAGTTCATCCTGGAGTTATCGGTTACTTAAGGAGAGGTTTCGGCCAAGATAGTCTTTGCATAAGCAACGAGCTTTTCATACAACTTGTTCCGTATTTTGTCACAATTAACGTGTGTTAGAGGAATGTCAAGAGAATCGACTCAGGTATGTTAAGGCTATCCCTTCTTTCTTTTTGGCATGATCTATACGACACGAATGAAACGAGTAAATGCACAACTTCCATAAATGACTCTATTCGTAGAAATGCTTGAGATGCTTAATTCTTGATTTCCCATAAGTCTTATTATTCTATCTTCTGTTCATGGGTCTCAGAAGATACGTTAGTTGATAAAGCCTACTTCATGATATTAATCAGAGGCATAATGGTCTTATGACACTCCAAAAGATTTTATTGACGTACTTCTCATGCATTGCATTCATTTACATT